CCAGTATTTCCGGGTGTCTTTGTATTTCATGGTATTTCACCAGCCACCCTCCTGATGATGAACAGAGCATACTGTTCGGAACGTCGAGTGTTCACCATCATTTCTTTTCAGAACCACACACTCATAAAACAGATATTTTCCTCTACATGGTGCAATCACAAGCCTAACTTAATTTAGTACTTCCACCATGCATAGTTTCAAGTCTTATCTGTGTATTTCATGCTGTCTGCTTATAATGGTTACAGTTATTAAAGATTGAACACTGAATTACATTCACCTGTTTCTGATGCAACAGCTGTAGGAGTAGCTTTTTTTATTGAGTAGGATTTTCTCTTTCTCACCCCCTCTGCCATATCTGCAGTGGGGGGGGAGGTGTATCCCTGTGAAGAAGAAACAATGAGTGGATTATCGGATTCACTAATGCACATCGGTATTATCTCATCCAGACAACCTGCCTCTTTTGGTGGTCGTTAAGGATGACCCGAGCCTGGACATCACTGTCAGCAAGACGGTGGACTTCTCTCCTATCAGTCTGGACAACTTCAACATCATGATGGAGAACTCTTCGACGGTCGATTTGTCCTCAAGCTCTACTGCCCAGGAGGTCAGCTGAAACCCACTTTGACCGGGCATCTCTCAGCATGATCTTTTGCCTCCCCCACCACAAAAAAAATATCGGAAACATCTCCCCATGTCTTTCCGAATTCTTTTTTCTTGTAGCATATACGATGAAATCCAGGAAGACCTATGTCAATGTGGATCGTGGGGCAGAACCCAGCAAAAACCTGCCCTTTTCATATTTATGTTTTATTATAGTCATTAATATTTATATTAAAGATACACATTCCCTATTCCTTTTTCCTGTTTTTGTTATTGTTTAATAAATTTTTTATAGATGATTTTTAAAATCAATGAAAAAAATCATCACGTAAGAAAATAGTATGAAAATGTAAGAAAATGTTTAAAAAAGCAGAATAGAACTTACAGCAAGAAAATTCTTCTAAAACAGTTGATCCCCTTTCCTCTCAAAATGTGGCTTTGCTGCATTATATTGCAAACTGACAACTAACTACCTTTCAAGCTCACCTGGAAGTGCCAGGTCACAGGTTGCTTGTTAACACAGCCCGGTAATTGGAATCCCAATGAAATCTGATTTCTTTCTGTTTTTATTTGTTGCTGGCATCCTCCAGGTTCAGCAGTCCCTGATGGATTTGTTCAGTGTCCAGTGCGAGACAATCGGGACACCCAGGGCCTACTACGAACAGGGCTTTGAGGTCGGGGAAGTCGGGGAAGTGGATGATCACATCATCAGGGATGAGGAGCCCTATTGCGGCCGAGGTTTACTCAAGAACCCGCCCTCTGTCTTTATTGCTGGCAAAACACTGAAGCCCGGTACCTCTGAGACTGTGAAGGCCTTTGACGTCAGGTACAATAAGTGGGTGAGTTGCCACCTTAAATCAATTTTGGTTTTTTAGTGTTCCGTTCATTCCATTCCACTCAATTTCGGTTAAAAAGCACTTATGCTCGCTAAACAAAGACTGCATGCATTATTTGGCACGATTACAGGGTTTATCCACAACAAACACAGGATGCGGGTCGCCCTCATTTTTTCTGTTTTCTCAGAATGACGCAATCTACGTTCGGAATTCGCATCTTCGCATGAACAGAAAAAAAGCCCCTCTAAGCTTGTTATAGTTGAGCTCTGAAGACAAATGACACTGCATTCGGTCTGGATGCTTCCATACTTATTTGAACAGATAAAATCAGAGAAAATGTGTTTTCCTGAGAGGTGCTCTTTAATTTTGTTCATCATGCCTGCATGGAACACTATGCTTCAGTTTGCTTTTAATTCAGAAAAAATGAATATAAAGAGGAAGAACATACTAAGGTTAAAACAATTTCCAAATGTGCAGCTGTTCTAACTGAGCCATGACGAAAAGACAAGATCAATTTAAGTTCGGCACTGTTTGATTTTCCTCATCTGTTTTTCAGTTTGACCGTAGGCCTCTATTCCTTGCAACAGGAACTAGTCCAAATGTTTGGCCCACAGATTACCCTGTCAACAACTCGATCAATTTTGATGACCTTTAAACAAACTTTGCCAATTGGGAACCAATAGCAACGGTCCACACATCTACCCCGGTTATATTTATCGTCATATATCTGAGTGATAATTCAAAATGAGGGTTTCATATGTTCATTCTATTGCCCATCAAAAACACAGCATATGTGCTCATTATTCGTTTCATTTCGTTCAAAACAGAGGATAAACATTGTCAAGGATATTGTCATTCTCTGTGACTTTTCATCCCTAACAAGAAGCAAGCCCCACCCCTTGTGCATTTTGTCACTGTAATATCATCGCTCTGCAGTTGTTTGATCGTGCCAAACCATGAGGAGTTTTTCTACCAGTGTCTTGAAGTCATTTTGATAACAATTTCAACTGTCTGTTTTCAGGCAAAAACGGTCCCCTTTTTCCTGTTGGCATGTGCACAGGCCAAGTGCGAACTACAAATGGCCATAACAAAATCTGTGTCTGGTTGATTGAAACTTCACATATGTAGGCATAATGAATATCTTTAAATGCATGCTAAGTATCCCAACCCTCTCAGCTGGGAAAGTACAAGGAAGGGGGGACCTCTTTTGGGGTGATGTGAGCATCTTGAATTGATACTGGAAAACTTGGGATTGACTTTTTAGGACCTGTGAAAACTTGACGATAGTTTTAGAAGAGCATGCCTTCAGAGGCATTGCCCAGGCATTTTCTTGGGGGGGGGGTGTGCCAGAGTCAATTTGCCAACTTGTATCTTATTTGCCAACCTTGTGTCCTATAAAATGGAAATCTGTGGTAAGCTACATTCATGCTTCAGGGAAAATGCCGACAGCCAACGTATACTGTTTATGTACCAATTATGGATTTGCCTGCTGACCAAAGCTCTCTTTGCCACCTCGGAATTAATTATGGGGGGGGGTTTACAGGGGTGTCTTCCCCCAATTCTCCAGTCGCGACGCCCCTGGATGCCTCTCATTCAGTACCTTTCCTCCCTGCAGCTTTGCACAGCACACCGGGGTGAGATGAAAAATCGCATCCAGCTGAAGCAGCGCTGGGTGGACAGAAACGGCCAGGAACACTCCAGCTGGCAGACGTACGACGACGGGTCACTGGATTTCTCATCTGCAAAGTGAGTATGTTCTTGTAGGCTCTGCCTGTGCATGCACATGAGTTACTCGGATAGACGTCGATCTGCGGGTGGATAGTCAATCTCAGCTCCAAGGTATTAAAAAAGTGGCCGACTAATTCTCAAAGAAAAGCCAAAGGAACCCATTCGTTGACTTTCAATTATGATAGAGTTTCGGTTTTATTTAGTATTTTGAAAGCAAATGAAATCAAAAGTTGAAAAACTTTTTTTTTGGCAAGTTTGATTTTTTGGGGGCCTTTGTAGATCTTGAACAGTGACAAAATTTATTTGCATGTTGTCTCTATATTTTATGAGGAGACCGGATGCATTTGCATATTCAGTGAAGTCTTATTGTCAGCTGGAAATGCCTTATGTTACCACTGACCGTTTATTGTGTTGAAATGTCCCATTGCCTGTATAGGTGGAACTTCAAATGCATTGACATTTTTGACATCACGACCAAGAGTTCATTCTACGAGAGCCATCAGACGGGCTACCCATTATTGGTGGAACACATCAAACTGTTTAGAGCAGACGGCCAAGATTTCTTCATAGATAATTTGTACATCGGCAATGACCAGCCACAGTGTAAGCGTATTGATCAGCGGATAGAGATCAGAGTCCAGTCCGCCAGTCCCTTAACAAGACCTGTCATAAGAAACAGGAAGAAAATCGACAAGGCAATGCTTTTATCACAGCTCGTTTGAGTAGTTTGTGGCTCGACTTGAGACTGAATGACTTGAAGTGGACTTGCAGGGACAAGTTATTGACTCGACCATAACAAAGATGGAAAATTACATCATTTACTTGTCCACAAAAGTAGTAATACCAAATCTTTGATTTTTTCCACTACAATTAAGAAGAACTTAATAAGTGATTTTAAGCATTGAGGATTTCGCAGTGCTTGTTTTGTGACTAGTATGAACGGTGTTGATGTTCATTTTACACACTGTAAATGAAAAAGGCTTCACTGTGTGTGATTTTCTGACTGTTCTATCAGATCTCCGCACAAAGCCGGCTGTCCAGCCAAATGGCATCTTGGTAATGGACGTGAATGTCAGAAAGCGAGGCTACAGCTTCGACATCACGTTCACCTCGGGCAAATGCGGCTTTGGCTACCCGCTGCTGTCCATCAAGGACGCCGTCAAAACTGTGGACGAGAAAAACAGAGCTGTTTACACAAGCACTGCCTGGCCGAATGGTGTCAGCATCTCGGTCGCCCGCCAAGAAAATGCATCGGAGCCAGTCGGCGGAACCTTTGGTCTCAGTTTGAATGGCAGCGAGCCCCAAATCGACGGTCAGTCATAATTCACATTTTCATAATGGAATAAATATGTTCTTGGCCAGTCTAAAGGTGCCTTTCCACATGTACTTTTTTTGGGTGCGTTGCATACACGATGCGTTCATGCGTTTCACTTTCACAGAGACACAAAAATCGACTCCACTATCATGACACACGCGTGCGTTGCGTTCAGCCGTCAAAATGGCCCCGGGAGCAGTTTTGACGGATATGCATCACTTGACGTGGGTGTTGATGTGCATATGGAGACAGGTGAATGGACACTGGTAATGCCCATGCCAAAGGCAAACGGACACAGTCAGCCTTCATTCTCCTGAGTCAGTCTAAGACCAACCAAGCACATATTTATTCCCAGTCATAAATGCCTTTTTTGTCAGAAAGTCAAAACAAGTTTAAAGATTAATACTTGCAGCGATTTTCTTCAGCAACATTTTATGGTCTACGTGAGTAGTTGTAAACAACCTCCTTACATGAAGATTCCCGCATGCATGGTGTGCATTACATGAGCTGGAGTGCAGCTGGATGGAGAAGTCTGGCCACATGACAGGCTTTTAGCCAATAGGAATGGCTGAAATGTTATTTTTGAGGTTATTTAGGCATGCAGAGCTACAGAGCCTCACTGACTAATCGCTGACCACTGACACAAGTCCTGTGGGAACTTCTGTTCAAGGACATAGGGGCAAAAGTTTGCTGGCAAAGTGTGACAATTATTTGGGAATTTAAGTCTCCTTTCAGTTTAAATTCAATTGGTCAGAGGGTTTGTTGCACAGCCCAATGGCATCTCAATCTGCACGAAAATATGAGAATTAAAAACCTTTTGCGGAGCAGAACTCCAAGCGTGGTTTTTTGGTTTGATTTGTCCATGTGCAAGTGAATCCCACCCAGAGTGACACAAAGGGCAGGTCCGACATAAGAAAGCATTCACGAACAAATTTGAAATCTGCTCAGCTTCTGTGAGTTTGTAGCACAAATATTTACTGTTTTCCAAATCAGCATTTGGCGATGGCGCTTCCAATCTTGGATTTCACAAACCTGACTGGGCACTAGAATGGCCATTGTAATCCTCTGGTCTGTGAAACACCAAGCAGGGTCTGTTGGAACATCGCTTGATTCAAATGCTTAAAATGCAAATACATTGACATATCAGATTTTGTTTGCGACAATAGTTTCGTTCGAGGCAACAGCAGGAAAGCTGAAGGAACTTCTGGAAGGCAGTTTTGATGTGGGTACAGTGAAGGTTGGCAGACAGGGCTCATGTATGGGCTACACGTGGAGCATCGAATGGCTGTCCAAAGGAGGAAGTCATCCACTCCTGCAGGTAAGAGTCATTAATGCTCCCTTTATATAACTTGTTACCCCATTCCCCCCCAAAAAAAACCCACAGACCACAGTAATTAAGACCCTGCCCAAATTAACCAGTTCTGGTAGGAAGCAACACTTGTTTTTATGGGACCCATGACTGTAACCACTAATTACTGTAGTCACGATTTGATCCACATTGCCATGGCACTCATGCCCTCCTTGTTTCATATTTTGTTCTCCCGGGGCTTCTGGCAGGGTGGGCCACCGGCTGCCAAAATTTTATGCCGCCCCGCTGAAGTTTTGCCTCCCTGCAAAAAGTTGCAGTGCCCTGCTATTTTTTTCATTGGATTTTTCCTTATTCTTCAATGGTTACACTGTTTATCTACTGTATGCAGAGGTTTACCACAGTCTGCAGATCGGACATACGGTCTGCCAGCATTAATGCTCAGGAGTATAGCAGTAGCACTTATAATCAAACTGTTCTAGATACAACGTAGTTATTTTGATTTATTCATATATGCAATGTGACATTATCCATTCATATAATAAAAGTATACCCACAATATGAGTGTGCCAATGATGATATCGTTTCATCCTCTCATTTTGCAAGGTGGACGGTGACAACCTAACAGGCAACAAGGTAGACGTCAATGCCTCAAAATCAGTTGAGGGTCAGTTCCTTATGGGGCCTATCCCAGGCGAGTTCTTGAGGCAGCTGTACGACAAACCTCAGGTGAGTCAAGACATTGCTCGGGGCTTAGATCGGCAGAGCAGAACTGCCAGCTGCAGTGTCATTGCACACTGCTCAAGTCACACCGGATAAGTCATAAACATCTCAGACAGCTTGCCCGTTCCTGGGTCAAGAATGCATCACATGGATTTTTTTTTTAAAGGGATAACGGTGCCAACTGGTGTGAAACACTTTACCAATTT